AGTCTGGCAGCTAAATCTTCTTTAGGACTGTCTGTGCTTAAAAAGAGATCCTTTGTAGACATGTATGGATTTGCCTTCAGACTGGAATTACTCAGGAGACGGCCCCAAAAGAGTCTTAAGGCTGGTACACACAGGCCGAATATCAACTAGTATTGGCTGGTACAACAGAAAACTGTCCGACAGGAATGAGAGTGATTTTGCGTGCATTCACGACACACAGTCATGTGAACCAAGCCTTGAACAGGGGTGCCTCATGACTGAAAATACTTTTGATGGTGACCATTACCGCCCTCCAACCTCACAGGCGAACAAGCCTTTGGTTCACATCTGTGTGGGTGTGGGTAGGGCAGCCCATTCATGTCAATGGGCTGTCTTACCCGACGAAATGCAGGGAAAGTCATCCCTGAGCCTTTTTTTAAAATTGTACCACACCAAAAACACCCCACATTTGCTAAAGTATGGGGTGCTATCAGGGGCGGACTGACAACTCACGGGGCCCCCAGGCAAAAGGGGATCATGGGGCCCCTGTGTCCTTGCCCAAATGTAAAAAAGCCTATGAAAAAGGTACCAGAGGCATCTCATGGGGCCCCCTACTGACCCCAGGGCCTCGGGCAGTGCCCGAGTTTCCAAATGGTCAGTCCGCCCCTGGGTGCTATTAAGAATTAATAGCAGAGCATTTGTCTGCATGTCAGGAATGAGTGCAATTTTGTGTACATTCGCAGCACACAGTAACGTGAACCAAGCCTTGGACAGGGGTGCCTTATGACTGAAAATACTTTTCAAAGACACCCCAAATAGAAAAAGGTTGAGAAACTCTGGTCTACCCTGTTTCCCCAAAAATAAGACAGTGTCTTATATTAATTTTTGCTCCCAAAGATGCGCTAGGTCTTATTTTCAGGGGATGTCTTATTTTTCCATGAAGAAGAATACGGTACACATTTATTGTTAAATGAAAATAAAGGAAATTACCATTTTAGTAACCCCTTTTGATCCTCCTGTGTCATTTTGATTGCCCCCTCTGATCCTCCTGTGTCATTTTGATTGTCCCCTCTGATCCTCCTGTGTCATTTTAAGTGATCTCCCTCCCCCCACCCCTGTGCCACTGAACACCTTCACCAGACATCCCCCCCATCCCTTTATCAGACATTTCCCCCCTGGGGCCTGCCTGGGGACTGTCACTGGGCTGGCTGGGGCCTGGACCTGGGCTGGAGCAGGGTCTGCCACTGACTGAGAACCTTCAGTCATCATGAGGGCGGTGTCACCAGAGACAGACCAGCACTCACCACCTTCGCCGTGTCCCGTCCGCTCTGATCCTCCTGTTCTTGTACACGCATCTCTCTCTCCCGCTCACTCCGACCTCCGCTCCGCCTCCACACAGCAATGACGTCACTGGTTGCTAGACGCCAGTCGAGGCGGCCCTAGCAACCAGTTTACGGTAAATTAATTTTCATTACAAGACAGAGCCTAGGGGGGCCTTATTTTCGGGGGGATGCCTTATATTTCACCCAGAAGGAAACCTATAAGTAGGTCTTATTTTCGGGGAAAACACGGGAGTACCTTAAATAAAGTACCCTACTCATATACAGTATACTTACACATGCAAGAGATAGAGGTTTTCTAATTGTGTGGGGTTTTTTTGTTTTGTTTTTTCGGAGGGGGGGGTTAATTGCTTGAACTAGATGGCCTTTTTTTCAACCTTACCAACTTTGTAACTATGTGATGAGAGACTTCCAGTATACAGTGGGTATAGAAAAGAATCGCCCCTATTAAAAATAATCACATTTTGTTGCTTTGCAGCCTGAAAGGAAGACAGGCAATTTTTGTTTTATCCAGCTGTATTTACTCAACTGCAACTTATAATATCTATGTAAAAGGATATAACACCAACATGTCAGAATTTTATTTTTTCAATAACAGAATCAATGAGTTGGAAAAAGGATCACCCCGTGTCAGTATTTTGCTAAACCACCTTTGGCTTTAATTCCAGCCTTTAGTCTGTTGGGATGTCTTTCCTAACTTTGCACATCTAGACTTTTGCAAGATTTGCCCACTCTTCTTTGAAGAACTGCTCAAGTTCAGTTACATTTGATGGTGACCATTTGTGGACTGCATTCTGGACTGGACTGGACTGCATTCTGCATATCTTCATTTCTGGCTGCTGCTGATTATTTTAAAGGTGTGGGGGGGTTGGTTCTTCTTTTCTATACCCACTTAGCTTCACACCTAAAGTCAACAGTATGGCCATCTGATCCACACATTCAATAAACGGGATCAACTGTGGAATTTGTTAAATCCTTTTTTTTTTTGTTAAGGGATTTTGATCAGTCAGACTTGGTTTGACAAAGTAAAATCACAGTGAACAGGACCCACTAACAAGAACTGCTGCTTATCCATTTGGTCCATAAAGGAAAGTGCATCGTCCAGCGTTATGGCAAGCGCCTTGTTAAGGCAGGTAATGACCAGATCCACAGTGGAAAAGGTCTATTTCTGTACAAAAATCTCACAAAACAGATAACATGCTGGTAAGTGCTAGAAGGAGCAAACAACATATTAGGATGATTCCAGTCTCCAACCTACTAGACTTTTTGTTTGTTTGTCATTGTTCTTCTCAAGGCAGAAGTATAACCCTAAGGTTAAACAATTTGTGCCCCTTAAAGGGCAAGATAGAAACTATTGTATTTCAGTGATTCTAATGATAAATTCTCAATACATTAGCTCACAAGTCTGCATGTCAGGAAGCTAGTAATAAATAACTTGTGCTCACTCCTGTGCAGCTAATGCTCATGCACAAGCACACAGACTAGCTCAGGCTAATACTCAGCATGCATGGACATGTAGGCGTTCATGTCGTCCCACATTGGCCCCAAGCTGCCTTTTTAAAAGGAGACTCTGCTGTGTGTTAATTGCTGGATGTTCTTCAGCTCCATGTAATCCATGTGCTTGTTTTCCTGTTTATGCTGGCCTATCTTCCATTGCTGACCCGGCTTGTTCCTGACCTTGCACTGTGGTTTCTGGATTCTGACCTCTGCTTGCCTCAGACTATTCTCTGCCTGATCTCCTGGTACTGACCTTGGCTTGCTACTGGACTTTTCTCTGCCTGCTTCCCTGGTACTGACCCTGGCCTGCTTCCTGATGCCGCTGCTGTCTCACTGTGTATGACCCTGGCTCACCTTGACTACATCTATGACCCCAGTCCATACCACCCTTCCATTTATTCTTTTCTATGAAGAATAAGACTACAGGGGTGTGACAACCAGCTTAATAGCAAAAAAAAAAAAAAAAGCAAGGCTTTGGGGTAGGAACAGGCTTAGAATTCTACAAAAAAAAAAAAAAAAGCTATCAAGTAATTAATTGCAACAGAACACATCGATAACTTAGATTGTAAGTTCCAAGGAGCAGGGCCCTCTTGTATTGAACTGTATTGTCTCCTGTTATATTGTCAAGTGCTGAGCAAACTGATGGCACTATATAAATCCTGTATAATAATAACTAAAATATCACTTTTAAAATGGACTGACTCATACCCTATTTATACTTTTTAGAAAAAAACAAATAAGATGGCTCAAAACATACATTTTCCCCATTTCAAGAGTTTTTTGCGGTTATGAATCAGCTCTTCTATTTGAATAAGATTGTTTCCATTGTGGAAACAACCTCTTTATCTAGTTCCCAGAAGAGGTTTCCTAGGCAAGTTTCAAACTGTAAGCTATGAGAGCCAGATAAGTAGGAAGTATAAAATCCTTCTCGTTTATAGTATACTTCTTTGTAATAGATAGTTATAAGTACCAAAGCACCAAGGGATGACTAGACATATAGTTTTATTTGAAAGTGAACCTAAACTCAAAAAAGTTAAGATTTGCTATGTTATAGGAGCATCTAGAAATGTCAACTGTGCCAAGCATGACCCTGAAAAATGTATATTTTGTTTGCAATTTTTCCTGATAAATAGCACTGCTCTTGGTATATAAACATGCCTAGGCATTCCTTTGTTTACAGCCTTATAGCTTTATGTCTTAACTGCAAGATCTAAGGCACTGCTGCCTGTGAATGCCAGGTCTTGGGAGATTTAGAGTGAGATCTGGTGATATAATTTATGTGCTGCTCTCTGTTCTCCTTGCTGGAGGCTCTGACATGAGAAAGGTTAACCCTGTGCCTACCAAGATGGTTACAGAGACAGACACTGCAGAACAAGTCATGATGAGGTCAGTAATGGTGATAGATCAGCTACAAGGAGATCTCAGGCCATACTAGTGTCTATTCCTTTGCAAGCTGCCTACCTTTTTCTGGGCACAGCTTCTAGAGTCCATTTCCCCTTAAAACACAGAAGTTCTGGGTTAATGACAAATTGCTCTTATAAAGCCTCCTGTTTAACTCTCAGTTTGAAAAATTCCAGATAGCGAGGAAATTTTCCTTCATCGTTTACAATGTATTGGCTGTCTTACCATTCACAAATCACTTAGAGTGTTAGATTAACATTTCAGGAAAAAAATAAAAAATATATAATGAACACAGCAAACCCTCCCTACCCCCTGCTGTACTTACCTCCATGGGTAATCAGAGGTCAGTAGCCATTGGATTTGAAACCTCCACTTCTGTCCCTCCTCTTTCTGCAGCACTTCCTGGGATATGGGGGGGGGGGGGGGGGGGGGGGGGGGGGTAACTGTACAGCTTTTACCTTTTCATTTTTTTCTAAAAAGGTGAACTTATACTATACAAAAAAGGCATAAAAAAAACTCACTTTTTTTTTTTTTTTTTTTTTTTTTTTTAAAACAAACATTTTATAAAGAACACTAGATATAGATTGAAGAGCAGCACTGTCCATTATTTGAAAAGTCAAATGCAACTACAGCATGGAAACAACAGTATTGCATCTTTAGCAAACAGAGGTCTCTACAGCAGCATCCATCTGATCCAGTCTTGGCAAAAGCAGAATACTGTATACAGAACATAATGGTTTAGAAATAATGCTTAGTTCACACAGCAATCAACTGAAATATCCATTATATAGATGCTTCTGCAGCCTTAGGCACATCCTGTTCTTTTTCAAAGTCTCTATCTGAGGTCTGTTCTTGGCGCACAGTCTTCAATGCATGAACCGCATAGTTAAGGCTTGTGTCATCAAACCATCTCCAGGATCCCATGAAGGGGTTGTACAGCATTCCTTTCAGTGTATCTACCACAAAACCATCTGTAAAATTAGGAAGTATTTAAAAAAAAATAAATATATATAGTGTTCAGTTAGCTGTAGGTAAGAACATATTTACAGCATATGAACATCTTTGAGATTAACTCTCAGACCATTTAACTGGATTTCACGTAAACATATCCTTATCAACGAACATTACATTCATAACACTCACTTGATTCAAGTAGTCTTTCAAGCTCTTCAGGTGGGATAAACTTGTCCCAATCATGAGTACCTTCTGGAACAATGGACATGACCTTTTCTGCTAGCACTATGCCAAGAACATAGGATATCTTGGTTTTATTAATTGTCGTGATAAACAGTGAGCCACCTGGCTTCCAAAAAAAAAAACAGATATGCATTTGTAATTATTAGCCTTATCAGTAATAAATATTTAAATTAATAATGCCATTAGTCAGTAACAAAATCTTTAACATCCATTTGGATGAAATAATTTGGACAGTTCTGCTACTCAAACCCCCTACCACCACAATGATTGTGTCAAATTAGAATAGACAACTAGAAGAGCTACAATTTCTGGGGAAATTGTGTGAAGTGTTCTTGTCTCCACCAGTAGTCTACAACTGGAGTGGGCAGAGTAACTGGGTGGAGTGGCTTGTCACTCTGCTGCCTGCTCACACACATGGGTTCCTGTGGCAACTCACTCTATAGCAAGGGCAGAAAAAGAGCCGTTAAAAACCAAACTGCTCCAACTTGCTCACTTCACTGGAGGTTGCCATCTTCAAACGGTTGTAGTTTAAAAATTATAAATGCTACACCGAAGAGCTTTATATTGTGAGAATCACAAGACCCAGACCTACATTTTGATGCATAGTATGTCTCTGAAATATTACAAAATGAAGGCACAGTCGCAGTTTAGAAATTGCCCTTCAAATTTGAGGTGGCTAGAGTGGAGTTTCAATGAATGTCAATGGGCGGCATGAGTTGCAAACAAATGGTGATAGTGTGAAAACTATCAGGACTATGGCTTAGCCGTGGCAGCAGGGATAGCTGAACGTTTTGATATAAGATTTGTGTAGGTGGGCTTGAAAATGAAGGAGTGGTGGCAGTATAGAAATCATGTCCTGATTTTTTAGCTCACACTCTAGTTTTGAAAATTCCACCATTCATTCCTATGGGACGAATTTCACCACAAAAACACCGATATTTTGTGAACCATTCGGCGAACCGTTCCACAAAGTAAAAAACACACCAATCGGGAACAATCCGCACATTTCGGTATATTACTCTATGTAGTGTAAAAACTGTGGGAGGAGTTAGGGTGGTAAATTTGGCTATAATAAGAATATATATGTGAGATAACAGTAAGTGGTCTTGCAAGAACACTTAATTATGTACTACAAAGTCATGTCCTTGTTACGATACAGTGAAAAACTGATTAGTTGTCATTTGGCCCCCCCAAAGGCAAATGTCTTTATGAAAACTTGAATAAAATGACTAATAATAAAAATGCATAATAAAATATACAACGTTCTTTATGCCCTACCTTCAGTACATGAAAACAGCTTTGGATGAAGGCCTCAGGATTATTCACATGTTCTACAACTTCTGAAGCCACAACGGCATCAAAAGATTCAACAGTCTGTTCTGCAACCTCTTCCAGTGTGCAAGGCTTGTATTGGATAAGCTTGTCTAAGGCAGGATCAGCAGACTTGTGAAGTATTGCAGTTCTAATATTATCTTCTAAGGGGTCAATTCCCATAACTGCAGCACCTAGTCTTCCAAGTGGCTATAATATAAATAATATGTGGGAGAAGCAGATTACGAATTAATCAAAATAGAATTTCGCAAAACTTGCTTTCTTTTGTAAGGATATACACCAGTTATGCTTTAGTGTTCCTTTCTTTTGGGCAAATCCAGACAGGTCCATTCTATTGAAAACAATGCATTCTTTATGTAGCATTCAATAAAAGTGCTGCACTTTTCTCCCCGTGCAACCAATGACTAAATTCAAATGAAATATTTAATACGCAAAACAAATCATGAAAAAAAATAATAAAAGATTCATCCAATTATATACATTCCACCTATACAATAATCAAGTCCTAAAACATCAATAAGTCCTTTTTTCACATATATGTGTCATCGATAAATTAATTCAATATCACTGTGGATATATTCAACATCATTCCGTTCCTTCGTACCATAACAATTGTTCACCTCCACCAACACCCCAGATATGTCCTCACCTGGAGTCTATGCCCTCACATAAAAATGTTTGGCCAATTAGTGCTTGTGTCTCTTTAAAACTTATTAATGGAGCCTCTCGAGTTGGAATCCTCTTTCAACAAACAATCACCTTCTTCTTATAGATCCTTCTCCTCCGCTCAGCATAAAAATGAATAGGCAAGAAATAGTGCTTTATCCTTAACCACTTCAAGTCAGGACACTTTCACTCCCTTCCAGTCCAGGACAATTTTCAGCTTTCAGAGCTAGCACATTTTGAATGACAATTGTGCGATCATGCAACACTGTACCCATATGAAATGTTTAGCATTTTTTTGAGACAGATAAAACTTCATTTTGATGGTATTTATTCACCACTGGGATTTGTATGTATTTTTTTTGCTAAATAAATGAAAGACCAAAAATTTTGAAAAAAAAACCCCAAAAAAAAAAAAAAAAAAAAAAAAACACCCCACACAAACCCCAAAAATTAGTTAATATAAAAGCTGTACAAAAAAAAAAAAAACACTTTTTTTTTAATAAACTAATTTGGGGTTGTTTCACATACTGTCACCCTAGCAGTATAGTGTCATGCCATGGTGACACTACTACTTGTGGGGGGTGATTTTTTTTTTTTTTTTTTTTTACACTGATTGATTTTACACCCATAAAAGGCTGTAAAAGCAATCATTTCTATTTCTCTCTGGCTGCATTCCTGCAGCCATTGAAAAATACTGTGAGAGCTGTGATTAATCACAGCTCGTCACATGGTACAAGGCTGTTGTAACTGTGGTACCATGTGACCTCTGATCATTCACAGATTTTAAAAAGTAGTAAAACAGTGATGTCGGGAAAGGACATCTTGTTTACTACTGTTCATGTGATCACTGATTGGCCAGTCAGTTATCACATTAATAAGGACCTCACAGAGGTCCCGTACAGCGATCTGTGTACCACTGTGTCCGGTGAACACAAATCACAGGGGAGCGCGCACAGGCAATGGACGCGGGGGGCATTTAGAAACGTCCTCCCGCATCGGTAGCGCTCCCGTCCATCTGTTTATCAGCAATAGGCCAGACGGGAAGAGGTTAAAAAATGCTTTTATTATTGAATAAAAATTAAAAAAATCAGCCACTCACATATTGCAGATGCTAAATCGCACCAAATATAGCCAGCATATCTACATTTAATTGGTACTATATGGCTGTCACAGCGTTCTCATAATACCGTTCCATGTTCCTAAGTTCCGTTTGCTGGCTGCTAGCGTCGTGAAGTCACCAAGCCCCTCACCTATGCATTATGCTACATGGTCACGTGGCTTCCTCAGGGGGATGTGATTGGATGTCAATTTAGCACCCGCAATATGCGTGTGGCTGATTTTAAGTTTTAATTAATAAAAGAAAGAAGACTGCAACTCAAGAGGCTCTATTAGTAAGTCCAATTTAAAGAGGCAGGCACTATTTAGCCAAATATTTTTATGTGAGGTCATAGGCTCTAGGTGAGGGCATATCTGGGGTGTTGGTGGAGATGCACAATTGTTATGATACAAAAGCACGGAATGATGTTGAATATATCCACAGTAATTGAATAATTTATTGAAGACACAAATATATATGAAAAAAGGGGGGGGGGGGGGGGGGGGGAGGGAAAAAAACAAAAAAAAAAAAAAAAACACTCATTGGTGATTGGGGACTTGAGATTTTTTTACTGCATAGGTGGAACGTATATAATGGGATGAATCTTTATTATTAATATGTCATGATTTTTTTCAAGTATTGAATATTTAATTTGAGTTTAGTCACTGGTTGCACAGAGAGAAAAGCTTGGCACTGGTAAAGAATTCTGTATGCAACACATTCATATGAGTATGTGTAATACTACATGTAAATTGTTGTATTAGAAATTGTATACATTATTAGAAGCTGCTCGCGTGATTTTATTTTAGGCATTCTTTATGTAGCCTTTATAGCAACAGTCTCTGAATAAAGAAGTGAGTGATTGTAGAGAAACATAGGCCTATCTTTACAGCCCAATAACAGCTCCATGCACATGGATGTGTTGCATGAGCCCATTTATTTTCTATTGGCCCTCAAAGTGCATCCACAAACCAAAAATCCTAGGATTGTAAGCTCTAACGAGCAGGGCCCTCTGTTTCTGCTTGTACCACATTGTATTGTAACTGTAATATCTACCTTCATTTTGTAAAGGTCTGCACAAACTGTTAGTGCTATATAAATCCTGTATAATAAAAAAAGTTCCTGAACTTTTTTTTTTTTTTTTTTTTTTTTTTTTTTTTTTTTTTTAAAGGGGACTGCGGGGCAGCACAGGCATTTTCCATTGCATATTTCACAGTGCGCTAAGGGTCAGGTGTTGACATGTGTATGGGTCCCATTAGAAAGAGCACATACAGCAAACTTTGTTGCAAAACAAGCAAACACACAAAGAGCAATGTAAATGGGCCCTTTGTGCACAATCTACAAATCACGTCATAATAAACCCAAGAATGAAAGTATAGAAATCAATCATGAAATATCTGAAAAAGTTTAATCAAAAAGGTAATTAACTAAAAACCTAAAAATTGCAACACAAGACAATTTACTAAAGGGCAGCAGTAATAAATAAAAAATAGGGTTGATTTACTACCGGCAATACACTGTGCACTTATGATATGTACCCCAGAGCTTAGTAAATGAGAATATTTGCCGACTTCTACCATACAATCATGTGCAAGCAAAAATGCGTTTTTTCTCCTTGCATGTGATTGGGTTTTCTTTGCAAAGTGAAGCTTCTCCTCATTTACTAAGCTCTGGAGCAAATGCACTTGCATAAAGCACAATCTGCCTTTTGTAATGAACCCCATTTGGTCAGAGGAGGCAGACCTTCCCACTCAGCATCAAACACACAGCCCTGATCCATTGGTAGTGGCTATAAACATTGCTCCCAGGCTGTGCACAGCAGTGTTCACTTTGCAGGGTTACAGAGGTACTGTACCTATTTTTAGCTAGTGAATCTACAGCCACCCAAAAGCCTACAGATTTTTTTTTTTTTTTTTTTTTTTTTTTTTTAAAGTTCCACTACAAGACTGGACAAGAATGATGAGACTACAGCACATATAGGGGTTTATTTACTAAAGCTGGAAAGTGCAAAATCAGGCTCGCTCCTGCATAGAAACCAATCAGCTTCCATGTAAGCTTAATTGAACAAGATTAAGTTAGAAGCGGATTGGTTTGTATGCAGAAGTGAGCCTGATTTTGCACTCTAGAGCTTTAGTAAATAAACCCCATAGTCTCCCACTTGGCACCAGGAAAGTAGTAGAGACCAAAACCCATGTGTCCATTTCCACACACTACATTGTGTTTAGTAAATTATGCTGCCCATGCAGATCAAGTCTGAAGAAAAAAAAAAAAAAAAAAAAAAAAAATCTTACAGGGTCCTATAATGGGTAGAGCAGCTGTTGTAAACACCTGTAGATTATGGTTACCTCAGTTAAAAGTCCTCCACCACAGCCAACATCAAGGATTTTTATGCCAAACAGAGGGCACCCAACATCATGATCATAGCTTTTGCTCATAAGAACATCTCTAGGAGATAAGATCAGACAATAGTGTAAACACAAAATGTACTAAATACAATGCTGCAACTCGACAGTAATTTAACACCTCCTAACAAAAATACTAGGCTAGGAGCATTTCTAAAAAGGTATTCTTAATATGTACTCAAAGACATAAGATGGTAGTTCCACAAGGTCATACCACCTGCCTCCTGTATCTGTCCAATCTCCCCCTTCCCTTACCATTAAAGCTTAGGACCCAAGCTGACTGATTGTTTATGCAAGGGATTGCGTCACAGTCAGAACATCAACATCTAATGGCTTTACTAGCCACAGATACTTCAATTTTCTACAATATTAAAGCTGAGCTTCAGGTATGGTTTTTATTTATATAGTTACGTTGGTGCAGCGTGGACCAGTGAGGAGAGGCACAGCATTGACTTCAAAATTTCCACCTTATTCAATAAAAGAATGCCTTGTATTCATTGGGAAAAAAAATGCATTCTATAAATGGCTAAGTGATCTCTACTTTCTTCCGAGTCCCTTGCTGCTGGCCTGAAGCATTCTGAACACAGGAGGTCAGCTTTGCAGAAAAATGCAAGGAATTCTCTAAATGGCACCCATGCCAAGTGGCTGCGCTCCTATGTTCAGAATACAGCAGGGCAGCCTCTTTACATGGGACCCAGAAGCAAGTGGAGGTCACTGGATTAGCAGTGTCTACTTCAGTAATTTCCAGTTCCATGGACACCGGTCAGGTATGATACAATACATTGGTCCAAGCTGGACCAATGTAAGTATGTATAGAATAGCCATAACTGGAGCTTATCTTTAAAGCGGAGTTCCAGTCAAACTGTAAAAACAAAAAAAGAAAAAAACCAAACAGCTCACCTGTCCCTCAATCCCGCGGTGTCCTCCTTGCAGCTTGTTTTAACCGTCCTTTCTGGGTTCCCGGTGCCAGCATCTTCTGTGGCTCCACAGTCGGGTACCCACTGCGCATGCAGCTCTTCACTTTGTGAATGGCCCTGTAGTCTTCTGGGACTTGTCACGTGTCCCAGAAGAGTACAGGGAGGGAGGAGGAAGAGGACAACTTCCACTTCTGATCGCCTAGGCAATCGCAGTGGATGGGGGAGCTGGTAGCTGTCAATCTTGGTACCTGCTCCCCAAAGGTGCCAATCCTTAACAGGGAGTGGGGGAGCAGTCATTAAAGCAGAACTTCCCCTTCTGGGTGAAGCTCCGCTTTAAGGACAGAGGACAGTTAAATGGACCTTTGTGTTTAGCTAGTTTTGAGCACCCCTGTGTTAGAAGTAGCCCTTAGCTGACAACCTGTATTTTTTTTAAATCAATCTAAACATTTACCATAGATTTAAAGTCTTATTAAAAAATTAGTTTTTTTATTTTTTTGTTTTTAATAACAAACAGGTCTTACTTACCTGCTTTGTGCAGTGGTTCTGCACAGAGCAGCTCCTCTTCTTGGGTTCCCCTGGCTCCTTCCTCTTACCAAGTGTCCCCAATAGCAAGCCACTGGCTATGGGGGCACTTGCGCATGCTCGCTCTCGAGATCGGATTTTTGCATCCATAAGCTCGTCCCCACCCCCCACTCTCTCTTCATTGGCTCACTGGTTGTGACTGACAGAACTGGGAGCCAATGGAGCCCACTGCTGTTTCAACCAATAAGGAGAGGTAGTCCCAGGACAGCCAAGGATCTCGTGCACATCACTGGATCAAGAGGGGACTCAGGTGGGTATAAGGGGGGCTGTGAGGGGGAGCAGCACACAGGTTTTTTTTACCTTCATGCATAGAATGCATGAAGGTTAAAAACTTCTGCCTTTAAGACCACTGAGTACAATACCCCCTGAGAAAGACCTGAGCCCCCGAGAACCCCCCCTTTAGAACCACCTGAGTAAAGGACCCTTTTGAAAGGGTCTTTAGAGTTTGGAAAAGCCACCATATTTTGATGCAAAAGATTGGGTATATATACACACACACACAGTATACCTTACAAAGGGTACACGAATATCATTCATGGCATGGAGAGCTTTGTATACTCCTTCCTCATCCCACCATTTTGCTGACCAAGTCTGAAATTTCTTCAGCTCAATAGGATCCACTGTATGAGAAGTAGAGTATGCTCGTCTTAAATGAAGACTATCACAAAAAAAAAAAACAAAACATCCTTTTATTAAAAGTACAAATGCTGTTAAAAGGAAGAGTTATAATAATTTAGACACAAATGCCATCAAAACTTTTAGTCTGTACATCCTAATTAAATTCAGTGAGTAGTAGGGAAACGCACAATTAATGCTGGAATAAAAAAAACAAACAAACTACAAAACAAACCTACACCAGTTGCAAACAAATAATTAACACATATATGTTGTGGTTTTACCCAATTCCAGCCAATACAGTTGGGATAGATTTGGTATCAGTAAATACTTTTTCTGCCTATGTCCCCACTGGGGAGAATTCATCTAATGTCCTTATCCTCTAGGAGCAGGGCATGAAGGGAGGGAAGTTATCAAAATGGGAACGGAACATCAAAGACAATAACAATAATTTAACAGACATTCTGTACCATCCCTACCTAAATGAAAAAAAAAAAAATTATATATATATATATATATATATATATATATATATATATATATATATATATATATATATATATATATATATATATATAGTATATATATGTCTTGTTTCAGTCTGTGTCCCCCACTGAAAATATTTCCTCTCACTGCCTCTCCTTACAATAAATGTGAAGAAATCTCCCTAATGGGGACACAGACTACAAAAACCGCCTGACAGGGGGTTGTATGCCTTTCCCAACTAAAATTGGGCTTTTTATTGTTAAAATATATATATCTGTTAACAAAAGAAAAACTCCAAGCATCAAACCCAAAGCTTACGGTCCTCTTGTTCTGGCTGCTGTGCTACCTTTTCTGCTTCCTTGATTACAAAAGGAGAACTTTTGAAGCATAGGTATTAAACTGGCAACTGTTGACAAAAAAAAAAAAAAAAAAGAAATTATCTCAATGTAATTAAAAAAAAGAACATCTACATACTACTAAATATACAGATGTGCAATAAGGCAAGATCAATGCTTCTTAATGCCAAATTGAACTGCCTCTATGTATAATTAATGTAGACAGGCTGCATAAATGGTAACAAATAGGTTTTTTTGTTTGTTTTTAAATTCAATAAATTGCCAGGGTTGAAATATCAAAACAGTGGTCCAATGTGCCCCTGTATGGTGCTTGAGCAGCACGTCTCAATACAGTGCTGTGTTCCGGCGGTGGTATGGGAAAGTACCTTCCCGTACCTAGAACAAAATCAAGTTGGGCTGTGCTTTGCTTTTCCATTCACAGGGAGCTTTGTAGCCTCTGAATGAAAATAAAGCTTATTCTGATTGGCTGAAGAGGAGAAGTGGGTGGATGACATCCCTGAAGATGCAAACAGCTTTGGTGAGAAAGCTGGCTGGGGGTTATACTTGCTTTACCAGGTTTCTCAACCAGGGCTCTTCCGGAGGTTGCTAGGGGTTCATTGAGCAGCAAACAATTGGGGATTGATCCCCTGACTTCTCTGACCACAATTTTCCACTAACCACCCATGTAAGGAGGCACTTCTACACTGACCACTCATGTTAGAACATGCATTTTTACCATCTGCCTCTCTTTTCTTCAGTTATTTCAAGATTAGCAAAAAGAATTGTGTAGAGGGTCCGTAACAAAATTATCTGCCCTGGCTGTCAAATACACTAAGTACGCCAAATATTCACACCAGAACACAGTGCCAGAAACCCACATTCTGTGCATGTTTCCTACACCGCGTTCAAACCAAATTCGAAGTGCGATCTGTTGCGAGTGGCAATATATTCCTAACAACAGCCCAAATGCAGATTACAAATGCTGTACATTTGCTTGCACCAGAATGCATGATACTGCAGTACTATGCGATTTGGTGCAATGCATTTTTGAAAAGTAGTGCATGCAGTACTTTTCGTAAGATCCAGTGCGATTTCAGTCCATTCAAATGGATAGGCTGAAAAATTGCACTAACGGGAGACAATACAGCTACAATACAAGAGGGTTAGGAGGACCCAGCTCCTTGGAGCTTACAATCTAGGAGGGAGGGGGTGGTGCTACAAAAGGTAATAACTGTGGGGGGTGGACTGGTAGGAGGAGTAGAAGATTCCATTATTAGCTGAGAGCAGGATAGGCTTCCCTGAAGAGATAGGTTTTCAGAGACTGCCTAAAAGTGAGCAGAGTAGGCGATAGTCTGATTGAGTTTGCACAGGAACACAGACTGTCCTGTGCGATGTAGATGTGAACGGGACCAATTAGGCAGGACCACACTAGTGCGGGCCGTGAGGCCTGTGTCTGCGCAGGTACAGCAGCCCATTCTGTGCCTGTGTTTCATGCAAGAAAAAGGTGCATGCACGGTTTCAAAAAAGCATCCGCAGGAAAACCACATGGTCTTTATGACCATAGTTTCCATGCGGTTCCTGTACCTGCGATCGTGCTGTGGGCTGAGATCCGCAGGGGTGCCGTTCAAAATGAAAGGCAGCCCGGCGTGTCTCAGCAGCACAATTCGGCTGTGAGTGGTGGCGAGTGTGTGGAACAGATGCGATTCGCGCACCAACCAGCCCTCAGCTTGCAGGCTAGCGTGAACCTAGCCTCATTCAAAACTTTCTACAACTTACTGATCATGCAAATATACCATGAGCTGCACATTAAATCCATCTTAGCTCAGATAAACCAATTGAGAAAGACTGGGTTATGTGATCTTAGGGCCGAATCGCACAGGAGCATGCTGCACGTTCCTGTGCGATTCATATGCAGTGCAGTGTGGTACGACTTGTGGCCATTCATTTTGAAAGCAATAACACACTGCAACCAGACTGCATGGCACTTCTGTACCATGTGATTTGGTGCAGGCAAACAAAATGTGTTCTAACCCACGAAGGGGGGCCAACATAACATAGACATCTGCAGTGATGGCAACTGCAGTACATTTTGAACAAGGCGTGGGTAATGAACACGGAACGTGGGTTTCCTGCACTGAGTTCTGGTGTGAATAGGCAGTTCTTATTGTTACAATGTCTATACCACAACAATCCAGAGTAACATTGTAAAAGTGAACACTGACACCCCTTCTTTATTTGAAAAGTTAAGAGTAGAACTAAAGGCAATTTCCTCCCTTTTTGGGTAAGGAAGGGTTATAAACCTTGCTAGGATGGTGATCCATTAACCACTACCAGTCCGGACACTTTCACCCCCTTCCTGTCCAGGACAATTTTCAGCTTTCAGCGCTGTCACACTTTGAATGACAATTGCGCAGCCATGCAACACTGTACCCATATGAATTTTTTAGCATTTTTTTTTAGACAGATAAAACTTTATTTTGGTGGTATTTATTCACCACTGGGGTTTTTATTTTTTTTGCTATATAAAATTAAAAAGTCCAAAAATTGAGAAAGTATTTTTCTTATAAAATTTTGCAAATAAATAATCTTTCTTCATAAATCTTGGTTAAAATTTATGGTTATCTTAACCATAGCTAAAAAAACAAAAAACAAATTAGTTTAACCAAAAATTATAATTTTTCAAAATTACATTTTTTATTATTTGTTTTTGTTTTTTTTTTAACATACTGTCACGCTAGCAGTGCCACTGTACTACTTGTGGGGGGCAATGAAGATTTTTTTTTTTAATAAACTAATTTGGGTTTTATTGTTTTTTTTTTACTACATACTGTCACCCTAGCAGTATAGGGTCACCATAGTGACACTAATACTTTTGGGGGGTGATGAAGATTTTTTTTCTACTTTTCTTTTTTTACACTGATTGCCTTTACACCCATAAAGGCTGTAAAAGCAATCATTTCACCTTCTCTCTGGCTGCATTCTTGTGATTGGTCACAGCTTGTCACATGGCGGTTGTGAATAGCCTTGTACCATGTGACCTGTGTAATCATTCACAGATTTCAGTAGTAAGTAATGTCAGGAAGTGACATCTTGCTTACTACTATTCCTGATTGGCCAGTCAGGGATCACATGAATCAGGACCTCACGCAGAGGACCCATACAGTGATAAGTGTTCGGACACAGTGGGCACCGGATCGTGGTGCCGCGTGCTCCCAGGGAGCTCGCACAGGCTGTAAATGCGGGCGCTGTTTATTAACAGCCATCTGCCCCTGTCCGACTGTTTATATACATGGGCCAGACAGGAAGTGGTTAAAATTTCCCTTTGCTTCAAGTCCCATAGCCAAAACAGGAAGAGAAGATCCCACCATAGTTGTCACCAGAACTAGTGACAACTCAAAATGCTAAATTTTCTCTGGGAATGGTAAAACAGGACAAATAGAGAAGATAAATCAACCCAACAGGGGCAGTGACAGCAATAAAAACCTGACAGGTAGTCGAATTCTTCTCCCCTTTATAAAAAAAAAAAAAAAGTTCCATTTTAAATAAACAAATGAAGAACAATGCGGAAGCATTGGGGGAGGACAGCTGTGTGCACTGTGAAGGTATTATGGAGAACAGTTACTCTTGCACTGTGACCAGTATGCTGGCTATGAATGACAAATGTTGTATAGCTCCGCCCACTACAAGTTCACATACCCCATGTTATCAATGCCTATGGACTTTAGTGTACAGCTGTTCCGCCCTCCAGTGAGCCCCATGCTTGTACAGGTCGCTGTGCGTCCTACGCCATGTCTCCTCTCTTGCTGCATTACCTGAGCGGCTCCCCGTACGCCGCACAACTCCCATTGGGATGAACAGAGCCCACATCGCTCTCCAAACAACACACACGGATAATTCCAGGCTCGGTTTATAGGTGACAGCCACCGGAAATGTGCTACCGTTATCCCCCTCCCTCACACAGAGGAAAACACCGCCCCGGAAGTGAGACCAGGAGACGCCATGAGAGAAAAGGGCAGACTATTGTGTGTTACCCAGGCGACCAGGCTCCTCCTCAGGATTGTTATGTATGAATGTGCTAAAAGGAAAGATATTCTAACTGTCATTCTCTCTACCTCAATCTTCCTTTTTTGGTCTTATATATATGAACTCATTTAGATACTGCCCTGTTAACCACTTGTACTCCAGAGGATTTACCCCCCTTCCTGACCAGGCCCATTTTTTGCATTACAGCGCTGCGTTAGTTTGACAATTAAGTGGTCATGCAACGCTGCACCCAAATGACATTACAACCTTTTTCCCCACAGGTTGAGCTTTATGTTTGTGGTATTTGATCACCTGTGCGTTTTTTATTTTTTGCACTACAAAAGAAAGTGACAATTTTGAGGAAAAAAAACAATATCTTTGACTTTTTGCTATTTACCCCCCCCCCCCCCCCACCCCTTCATGACCAGGCCATTTTTTGCATTACGCTGCTGCGTTACTTTGACATGGTCATGCATCGCTGCACCCAAATGAAATTTGCGTCCTTTTTTTCCCCACGAATTGAGCTTTCTTTCGGTGGTATTTGAGCTCCTGTGCGTTTGTTATTTTTTTGCGTCCTGTCACTTTCTCTGTGTCCAAAGTGAGACATCAGAGGTATATTTAGACCCCTGATATTTCACCAAAGCAACCCCCCCCCCCCAACGTGTCCTTAAAAGAAACAATGAAAAACATTTTCTTATAAAATTTGGCAGATAATAATCTACGTTTGAGTAGTTAAAAGTGGGAAAATATGATTGTCCAATGCGGTAATATCAGATGTGATAAGCAGTTCAATTATGAGGAACTTCTTCCAAAAAAACGTTAATGTAATCCAATCCAATATCGAAAGGGTAGGTAGATTGCCCACTTACGAGAAGCGCAATTTCAATGCGCATGTACAGATGTCTCATGTAGCCGAGGTCTCATATAGGCGCTGCTTGGTAATACCCAGGTGGTCCGTCAATGATAAGGAGATACTGGTCTGGCCGGATCCTACTGCTCCTTGGATCCACACAGAGAGCCTAAAAGTGCTGGGGCTGAGGTATGTGGACTCAGTGCCAGATATAAGAAGTAAAGGTGCTCATAGTGTAGTATTTAAATAAAATATTTATTATATCCAATATGTAAAAAACAATTAAAGGTTACAAAGCACATGCCTGCAGCCTGTAGCCAGTAAAAGCAGCTGTACAAAACATCTAAGCACTGACCAGTGAGAAATATGGGTTGGCCGCCGGACCTCATGACCCGGCGGCGTGACGTCAAGGCATGCGAAGGCTCCTCCTAGACGCGTTTCATGTCAATACACGTCTACCGTAGGGGTGATGCCAAGCATTCCGTAGGGGTGATGGCATCACCCCTGCGGTAGACGTGTATTGACACGTCACCCCTACGGTAGACGTGTATTGATGCTTGGCATCACCCCTACGGTAGACGTGTATTGACACGAAATGCGTCTAGGAGGAGCCTTCGCACGCCTTGACGTCACGCCGCCGGGTCAGGAGGTCCGCGGCCAACCCATATTTCTCACTGGTCAGTGCTTAGATGTTTTGTACAGCTGCTTTTACTGGCTACAGGCTGCAGGCATGTGCTTTGTAACCTTTAATTGTTTTTTACATATTGGATATAATAAATATTTTATTTAAATACTACACTATGAGCACCTTTACTTCTTATATCTGGCACTGAGTCCACATACCTCAGCCCCAGCACTTTTAGGCTCTCTGTGTGGATCCAAGGAGCAGTAGGATCCGGCCAGACCAGTATCTCCTTATCATTGACGGACCACCTGGGTATTACCAAGCAGCGCCTATATGAGACCTCGGCTACATGAGACATCTGTACATGCGCATTGAAATTGCGCTTCTGGTAAGTGGGCAATCTACCTACCCTTTCGATATTGGATTGGATTACATTAACGTTTTTTTGGAAGTTCCTCATAATTGAACTGCTTATCACATCTGATATTACCGCATTGGACAATCATATTTTCCCACTTTTAACTGCTATAAGGACATTGTTTGTAGCGCTGCACTTCTATTTTGTCATTTCCAGCTGGAAGGGTTTGTGGTTCCTTTTAGTGCATTTGCCGCTCACTGGAGTGCGTTCACTATCTTATCTACACATACATTTGAGTAACTTGACCCCTGAACCCCCTGCAGTCGAATTACCGGGTGACGTTTGTCTAAAGTTATGCCAATACAGCATATTAACATGACCAGAATTGGGGGAAACTGGGGTAGCAAACCAGCTAGCATAAAATACTTACACACAAAAGAATCAATAATATACGTGCAAGTATAGTTACACATTAAAAAGGCCAGAATCTCTTAAGATGGCTGCCAACTAATGGGTGGAGTTTGTCTTACCAAAATGACATCTAGCTAGGGTGGAGTTGTGTGTTCTGGCTTCAGTGAAGTGTCAGATGATGGGATGTGATGATTCCCTGTAGATGATAGGCATGTGATCTGATGGTGAAGTCTCCCAGATGGTGCGATCTCTAGTTGATGGGTGTGTGTGTCCTGTCCACCTGATTTGCTATCTTATTGAGTTGCAGACAATACACCCATAACATTTTGAAAAACCTGACCCAGAAGGAACCTTCTCTATGAATGGTGTGGTGTATAATCATCAACCCTGTGTTTATTTACGAACCAGCTCACTTGCCCATCAGAGGGCACTCTAGGACAAGAAATGTCTATCCTGAGTTTATCTGGAAATGTTTTGGTGATCAAACCTTATATTATTCATCTTTTCCTACACAGCTATAATTATGTCAGTTTTAATATGTAAAACACCTTGGAGAGTCTGGTGATTTTCTATTGTGTAGCAGCAGCTTTTAAATGGAAATTTTTTCTACACAGAGGTGTCATTTTGCACATAGTAATTTAACCACTTTCCTACTGGGCACTTTTACCCCCTTCCTGCCCAGGCCAATTTTCAGCTTTCAGTGCTGTCACACTTTGAATGACAATTGCATGGTCATGCAACCCTGTACCCAAACTAAATTTTTATCATTTTTTTGAGACAGATAGGTGGCACTGATTGAAACCACTAGGCGGCACTGACAGGCACTGATAGGCTGCACTGACGGGCACTGATAGACGGCACTGACTGGCACTGATAGTTGGCACTGAAAGGCAGCTCTGATGGGCACTGATATGTAGCATTGATGTGCACTGGTATGTAGCATTGATGTGCACTGGTAGGCACTGATAAGTGGCATTGATGTGCACTGATAGGCACTGGTATGTGGCATTGATGGGCACTGACAGGTGGCATGGATGGGGCTACACTTATCATCAATGCCCTGATGATCAGTGTAGATGTCCCCTCTGAGGAATGCCAATTACCGGCTCTCCTCTCCTCATGCGCTGCCAGTAACAATCATCAGCATTTTCTTGTTAACATGCAATCAGCTGTGATTGGACACAGCTGATCACGTGACAGAGCCGACACCATCAGCTCTTTACTCTGATCGGTGATCCGCTGTGTCCCAGGGACACAGCGCACCACCGAGCGTCCCCAGGGGTGCACATGCGCAGTTAGAGTGGGAGGACGCATATGATGTCCTCCCAGAACGAGAGAACCTCCGTCAGTCTGTCATTTCCTTATATGGCGGGTGGGAGGTGGTTAAATACATACAAATAATTTGCATCATTTAAACAGCTTTTTGAATGTGGTAACGTTATATAATACATGTATATTTATACTGATATTGATTACAAATAAACAAACGTATGATAATATTACTGATTCTGTTTTATATATGATATGTTGGGTCCTAATCACGCCTTTTCATATATCATCATGTTTTATTAATACGTATATACATCAAAACATTGAGGCACCCTTTAAGAATCCTTTCCAACATTGTCCTCAACAATATCACAATTTTGTCTGATACAATATTAAAGTTAGATTGACTCTTATTTCTTTCTCTCTAGTTTAAACTGTCCTGTGACCAACCTCCGAATGTTTGTTCTTTAACCACTTCAATACCGTGCAAAAACCAAAAGATGGCTACAGCATGGTTGTGTTGTTCTGGGAGGGAGTCCATAGACATCCTCCTGAGAACATGCTTCCCATGCACCCCTGAGGAGGGCTTCAGGAAGTGTCTGTGAACGCTGTGGGCCTTGGCGGCAGCGCAACACAGATCGTGGTAAAGGTCCAATCACATGCGATCAAGAATATAAACAAAAGAGGTCATCCAGGGTTTGACAGTTCTCCTTCCCTCACACAGAGGCCGCCTCATCAACACCCATCAGAGCAGCCTCATCAGCACCCATCAGTGCAGCCTCATCAGTACCCATCAGTGCAGCCTCATCAGCATCCATTTTTTACCAGCGAGGAGGCATTTCAAATATTCAGTATGACCGGCGAGAGCAGCGGGGTATTCTCTGTGTCTGATTCTGAATACGAACCAGTGTTAAGTAGTGGGTCTGTAATAGAATCAGAGGTGGAGAAAAGTGTGTCCACCAAACGAAGGTATTCTGGTGAGGAGCAGGCAACCACCAGTAGTGCAGTGGCAACCAACAGTAGTGCAGTAGTGCATGAAAGGCCAGATACTAATGGGGTGTCACATCAGCCCCAAAGGGTTAGGGCCTATGCCAGTCTCCCATATGCACTTGAAAACCTGGTATAGCTTCCCCCTACCTCAGGAGCAGCTAATACTTTTACTGCACAGCCAGGTGTTCAGGCCAACATGGAAAACTGATTTTTTAAATTGTATTTTTCACTGATGATTTATTAGGTTCAGTTGTGGACCAGTGCAACCTTTATGCCCCACAGTTTATTGCCAATAACCCAAATTCAAGTAATGCCTGTCCTTATGAATGAAAACTGTTCAC